TAAAGCATTGATTGTAGTTGATTCAACTATAATCATGGTCAAAGGAAGAAAACTCCAATTTTAAAAATATATTATATAAACTTGATATTTAGATGAAAATAAAAATTTTGCAATTTTTCCTTTTATAAAGGGGCATAACTCTAGATCGGTTGAAGTGACACCACCAAAATTCAAACTTGATCTGTGTTTTGTGGTAATAAGCATTGTGTATAAGTTTCATAACATTTGGTTGAGGCAAACTTAAGTAAGAGAACGGAAACTAAAAATTTTGCAATATTTCCTTTTATAAAGGGGCATAACTCTAGAGTGGTTAAAGTGACGCCACCAAAATTCAAACTTGATCTGTGTTTTGTGGTAATAAGCATTGTGTATAAGTTTCATAACATTTGGTTGAGGCAAACTCAAGTTAGAGAACGGAAACCAATTTCGGGACGTACGGACGTACGTACGTACGTACGTACGTACGTACAGACGGACAAGGGTAAAACTTAATGCCCCCTCCGCTACGGCGGGGGCATAAAAAGTTCTGCAGTCTGTTCTATGCATTTCACAAGCTTGAGCCTTCCTGTACTGTTTTTTTAACGTTGATGTATGAAATCTTTCACGAAGTACAGCGACTGATATTAGAGTGTAGGATGACATTATTTCATATCGAAAGCTAACATACTATAGGCTTGTCTTCAATTACTATAAACTTCATTTGATACAGTGTAATATTGGTTATCATTATTTGTCATGACTCGCCTAGGATACTTGAGTTTGTGTTGTTTTTTTTTTTGGGGTGTGGCAGCATTATGTTTGCCGATCTGTCTTTTTTTCACCCAGATTTTGCGTTTTACTGCATATGGAAACATGATATAGCGTTTCACTGCATATGGAAACGTGATATAGCGTTTCACTGCATATGGAAACGTGATATAGCGTTTCACTGCATATGGAAACGTGATATAGCGTTTCACTGCATATGGATACGTGATATAGCGTTTCACTGCATATGGATACGTGATATAGCGTTTCACTGCATATGGATACGTGATATAGCGTTTCACTGCATATGGAAACGTGATATAGCGTTTCACTGCATATGGAAACGTGATATAGCGTTTCAGGTTAAAGTTTTTGTTTTGGTAAAAGTAGTTTACCATGAAAATGTAGTCACATCAACTTGAAACTTAGTACACATGTTCATTATGATGCGAAATTTTTAAAATATATGCCAAATTAGGCTTTTTATCACGAATCACTGTTATGAAATGTGATAGTGTGTATGAGCAGAGACATATATACACATGTGTATATATGTCTCTGGTATGAGGTTAAAGGTTTTGGTTCAACTTGAAACTTAGTAGATCTTTGTATTGCTCGTGTAGAATCAATTTATATAAGAATAAATAAAGAAGTGGTATGATCACCTATGAGACAACTATCCATCAGACCAAATAATGTAGATATTAACATTTATGGGTCACCGTAAAGCCTCCAAAAACAGTGAGAAAAGCCGATACCGAATAGCAAGGTATAAAAGTTCCCGATATGGCAAAATGTCAAACAATTCAAATAAAAATACCAACGACCTAGTTTATGTACAAAACATGTACGAAAAACCGACGATAACCACTAAATTATAGGCTCCTGACTTGGGACAGCCACATAAAGAATATTGCTGGGTTTAGCATGTTTGCAAGCGCCCAACCCTTCCCCTAACCTTGGACAGTGGTGTAACAGCACAAAAAAAAGAACAAACTGTAAAAATCATTTGAAAAGGGATCTCGACACCACAGATCGATACAAAACACAAGAGAAAAAAAATCTAACAAAAAGACTAATAACACAAATTACCAACTTAGCTGAAAGTACTAGCATAATTCATTCTACGACCAAAATGTGTAATCTATCCTTGAACCAAGGTCATATCTGAAAGGATAAGGTTGTTGCTGATAAATGTATTGAAGGATATTTGACCACATTTTCTAACTGTCTGCTGCAATTCAATTGGGCTTGAAATAAAAGATGTCAATTTTCTTTACCGATAGTCACGTCAAGCAAATTATAAAAATGCCAGAGCCTGGAAACCTTATTTTTGTACTAAGATACCTCTCTGTTGTTTTATTATAGACATATGCTTGGGAAAGTTCTATAACTACAAGAAATACTAGTTCAAGAAAACTTGAGTGATGACAAAATTGAGAATGGAAATGGGGAATGTGTCAAAGAGACTGTTCTTCATATTTTGAAATCCATTACATTCTGTTCATGTCTTTTTAAAATTACATTTTTGTAATTGAAAACATCTGACATTAGCTGAGAAATTTTATTGTGTTTAATTACTAACCTGAAAAAATGTGTCAATGATATACTTTCAATTAGAGGTTTGCTTGGCAATAACTAAATGAAATTAAAGATTACTTCAAAAGTTTACTTCAAAATAGTGAATGTTTACTGCACCAGATGCACATTTCAACAACTACTGTCTCTTTCAGTGATGCTGATGGTCAAAAACATTTTAAAATCCAAAACCTAATACAAAAGTTGAAGAGCTGATAAAACAAAACTAGATGTGTCACTCACCTGCATCTTCAACAATGGCCACATTTTAGTGAAAATCATCATTAAAGGCGAATAACAATAATATTAAAGAGTTAACTGACATATTTGTAGATCTTCTCCTGCTGATAATTTTTTCTTTGTAAAGTTTCTACTTATGTATAGTTTTCAAGATAATAGGCAAAAAATGCATAAAAATGTCAAAAATTATCATTTAAGGGCAAAAAATCAAATAACGAGTCGACTGAAGATTTCAGCCATTATAGCTTCTTCGTAGATTTTGTCTCGCTGATCATTTGTGCTATTTAACGTTTCTATCTATCTGTTACAATTTTCAAGATATTAAATAGGCAAAAATGGGGAAATCGTTATTAAAGGGCAATAAATCCAATAATGAGTTGCCTAACGATTTCCATTATGCTAACTTATTTGTAGATCTTGTCTTGCTGATAATTTTTACTATTCAACATTTCTGTCTATTTATTCTAGTTTTTGAGGTATTAGGCAATAACGGAAGACGATGATGACGGAAGACAGATGCCAAGTGATGAGAAAAGGGCCAAAAGTAATGCCAAATCAGGACAAAGAATCAGACCTACACATGAGGGATATACATTCCTTAATTTGAGATGATTTGGATACTTTATAACATTAAATATAAAAAAAAACAACATCTGTATTGTTCATGTCGTATTAAAAGCTAATGTGGTCCGGAGAGCAAGGTAATAACCATTTAAAGAATTTTGCACTGAAAAAATTTTTTTATATTCATTTTAATAGACACATATGATAAGATCTAAAAATTAAAAGTTTTATAAACACATCCAACATTTCTACACTTTGCACAACTATTCCTCATTCTAAATTGCAAGATTATCTACCCTCTCTGATTCCAGTGTTTCTTTTATAAGAAAGGTAAACACAAATACTAGTTTCTTGTTTATGCAAGAGAAAAAAACCTAAGTAAAGAACCATGCTGATTTTTTTTTTTCAATAACAGATACCGGTACACTGGAGTAGAAATGATCAAAGTGAGTCGATTGATATTCCATTAGTCAGCATTCCAATGGGTAATTACTGTGCACCATTCTAGTTGCTTTATTCTTCATATACTAGGAAAACAGGATTCATTCAAAACCATCACAAAGATAAGAGAAAAACATCTAGCAAAATACATTTATTTCAGTTCCAGATTATTGATGTCCTCCACTCAGTAATCCTGTTTACATCAAGTATATTATAAATCTCATTTTTCCTTGTGAACTTGATATCAAGACCATATTAGGTATCAATACAACATTTGTGCTCAAAATACCAAGTCCAGTATTTCGATCGGTTGAATTCAAGAGCACTCAAGGCCTGGTCTACTTCATATCTGGATCTTTTCTTGAAATTGAAACACAATTTCAGTTTTCCTTTTGTTACCTTCCATTCTTAAATAGTAACATACTATCTTCACTGGTCTATGACATTAACATATCTTGATTCATAAATATATTAGAGCTTGATCTCATTACGGTGATTCACTTACAAGGTATACTCTTAACTGAAAATTAGTTAATTATTACAGTGTCTAGATTCTCAACTCACCAGTGAAGTTGACTCTGCCATCAATCTCACATGTCCATCTGAGTGGGACTAGATCATTATACATGTATATCTTTACATAGGATTATTTGTCAATTTGCCCCTGGATTTCTCACATTTTTTGGGGGTTGCATTGTTGTTAATGTCTAACCCACATATTCTTTTATTCACAAGGGATTCACTTAAATCAAAGAACAATGCAAAATATAAAAACACCTTTTTAAAATTTGATAATCAAAAACCCTTATTGTCATCAATCCTATTATAATGAATAAACCTTGCAAGAATTGCTAAAAGTAGACTTGATTATAGCATGAAAGGTGAAGTATGGATAGACAGAGAGACAGCAGTAAATACACCCTTCTGTGATGAGTGTTGTCCACCCAAAAGGGGAAAGGGGAATGCATGGCTGGCAATATGGTGTTGATACTTTATCATTGTTGAAGACCATATGTGACCTTCAGATATCTATTTCAGGTGTACTTGAATAGTTGGATTGCTGTCTCATTGCTTAATTCATATATTTGATTTAAATGTTTTTCACCCACCAAAAGAACAAAATATATGGTACATCACTGCATATTACACTAGTTTTTTTTTCTGTTTTGGTAAACAAAGAATCTTCTGTGGTAATAGAAAATGAAAATTCATGAAAATTAATAGCATTTCTATATCAACAACGCTAATTTTAGTAAAAAATTATAGCAATAGTTTTGAACTCCAAGAAAACTACCACAATTATAAGATTCTAACACTACCTTATGGAGTTAAAATCAGTCTGTTTTTGAATATGCATAATAGCTACACTATTTCATTGGTTTTGAGAGTACACATCTGTATATTGCAAAAATAATAAGTAATAAAGGCAATTTCTTTATTCTAATTTTATTTTGTCTAGCATACATATCTTCATTTCTTCTAGTTCTCGTACAAGTTCATATTTATTTCCAAAATGTAAATTAAATATTTGAACAGCCTTGTCTATAACAGATAATCCCTCCTCCTGAACTCCCTTCGCATAATACAGTACTCCAGCAAACTTATGAAGTTCATTTGCATACTCTATACTAGTGTCTCCATACAGCTTCCCTAATGTACAGACACTGTCTCGTAGATATGGTATAGCTTTGTTGTACTTCTCTGCAATCAAATTAATTATAATAGAGAGTAATCAGATTTGAGAAATTTCAATTAGTCTGTTTAATCACAAATTATTACCTCTAAAATTTAAATCCATACATCATTTTTTTCACAGTTAGCCCTTTCCATTATTCCAACATTCTGTTGAAATAGAGATGCTAATCATGAGGCTCTAGTTTGTACAATTTATTGCTCTCTTCACTTTGACGAACCAGAAAAAATTATCAAAGAGGTTGCAAAGCCAAGATGATTTCATTTCTACTCATCATAGGAAAGGGGAAGAAATTATATATTCACATGACTATCACTTTTCAATACACACATGAACATTTGTCATTTCTTGAAATTTAATGGGTGCAATTTTACATTGATTTGAAAAATAATAAACATTTAGGTAGCAAGTTCTAATTTAATAATATGGAAAGCAAAGTATATCCTGAATAATAATTATTCTTTTTCGCTTGTTTTGCTATCAGGAGAGGGTAGATAGGTGAATATGTAATCACTGCCAATGTTATACTACTTACTTGAAAGTGCATAACACTGAGCAAGACAGTCCTTTGTTTCTGCCAGGCTTTTATGATGTTTATATAAAACCTGTAACTGAACATTTAGACAGTCTGTGAACTTTTGAATAGCACCTGGAAAAAAATATTCAGGCTATTATAAAAAAAATAATCCTAGATTCTTCCACCTAAAGGATTGTTTCAAACCAAACTTCTTTTTTTTTTAAATTTCTGCCTGTTTTCTTCAAATTTGTCAGAAATTTCACCAAAATAGGCAAAATCTAAAAAATAAAAAATGCAGCTTTTCTAAATATAATAATCCATGTACAAGTGAACGAGTTCTGAAATGTATAAATGAGTGCTAAATCTTATGAAAAGTAAAATTAAAACTGTTATGACCAAATGCTGTACAAAATGTTTTAACTATTTTAATGCCATAATTTCACATATATTTGTTTGACGTGAAAAGTAACTTTACAGGTTATGACCATAATCAATGACTGTTAAATATAAACCTTCAATATCTTGCATCTGTAAACATTTTAAACCACTTATAAACATATTCTTGGCCTTATTCTCTTTGGTTAAAAACATTGTTACTTGGTCAGTAAAGTCACATGATGTACAAGAACATGTTGTTTCATTCTCTTTTAGTACTGCTTTACATAACGGACAACAGTAGCTCTGTAATGAGAGAAAAAAAAGCCACTATTAAATATATATTTCACATGGATGGATTCTCTTGGTTCCTCAAATATTTCCTGAAAAGCTGATAAACAGGGTCACAATAATTTAGTTTTCAATAAAAATGAAAGGGTAAATACTTTTAAAACGATTTTTTTATAATCTGTGCCTCAAGATGTTGGATTTCACTATACATCATTTATAAATGGGTAAATAATCACAAGTTTTAATACTACTGAAATGAAAACAATCATAAATTTTTTCTTCATTTGCATTCTTTTAGATTTATCAGCATACTGAAATCATAATTTTGTGTGAAACAATCAATTACTTAAACTTTGCCTTAAGAAAAACCTAGAAAATCCAACTTAAGAAGTAATTTTGTCAAAAAATAAAATGTATAATGCCACCTTAAGATGCAGGATGATTAAAACAAACAACCAAGCATACACTAAATTAAGTTTTAATTTTTGTTCTTTTTTCAGAATTTTTTTTTTTCCATTAAATCTTTTCAGGAAAGTCAATATAATCTTGTGTATGTCTGTGATTCAAAACCATTCCTACGTAAACAATTTGTTTAATTCTCATCTTAAATTTAGGTAGAGATGTACTAAAACAATATTGTGACTATGAAGGAAATTTGTGATTTTATTTGGTAACTGTACTACAATGATGACACAAAAATACACTTTATAAGATAATGATTGACTATCCATTAAATCTTTCTTACAAGTATGTAAAACTTACTGTAAAAATGTCTTGTTCATCACCTGTCTGACAAGATGGACATCGACAGGTAAAGAAATATTGTGTCTTCAAGGCCTGCTGTCGTTCCATTTTACTCATTCTTTTATGATGAGGTCCTAAAATATCCAAAGTTAATAGAAGTTACTGTTGCTCCATGCTTTCAATCCATTTTTAAACACTCTGGATACAAATCAAACAGAAACAAGAGGCTGTCAGAGTGACAGCAAACCGGAATTTTCCTGCAGAGGTCGAACCCTGAACAGTTGAGCAAGTATGGACACTACATTTAAGCTTAAAACAGCTCTGAATTTGGATTGTGATTGCATATTTGACACACCATAGGTTTGTGACACAAAATGAATGTGGTTTAAGAACTGAAATACTTGAAATTGGACATTTAAATACCTATTATGGTCCAATATCAAAAATCTAAGTACATATTAGAATCAGCATATCAAAGAACCCCAAGAATTCAATTTTTGATGAAATCAGACAAAAGTTAAATAAAGACCCTTTGGACCTCAATGTGGACCAATTTGATAAAGGAGCCCACAATCCAAAATCTCTTAATACATGGTTAGATTCAGCATTTCAAAGAACCCCATAAATTATTTTTTTGTTGAATGAAACAAAGTTTAATTTTGAACCCTGATTTGGACCAACTTGAAAACTGGGCCCAAAAATCTAATATTTTAATAAAACAGGTTTAGATTCAGCATTTGAAAGAACCCTATATATATTTAATTTATGTTGAAATGAAACACAGGTTAATTTTATCCATAATATTTTCTGTGCAAAGGGAAATAACTCAAACTGGATAAATAGTTCTCTAAAATAAGATATGATGCAATTTTTCAAATTATAATCAATAATATAATAACAACAACCAGTGATGACTAAGTTCTCTAAAATTAGATATGATTTAACACTCAAACATTGTTAGAATCAGCATATCAAAGAACCAAAGAATTCAATTTTTGATGAAATTAATCAAAAGTGCAATTTAGGACCCTTTGAACCTCAATGTGGTATTATCTTATTAATAATGAAAAGAAATACAGGTTTAGATTAAGCATTTCAAAGAACCCTATATATATTCAATTTATGTTGAAATCAAACACAGTTTAATTTTGGACCCCAATTTGTACCAACTTGAAAATGGGCCCAAAATCAGAAATCTAAATATATGTTTATTAATAGACAATACATGTATAAGCTTAGTTTTTAAAGGAGTTTACTACATCAAAAAACTAGAGGCTCTCGCTCACCTGTATTTACTGATGCTTTGGAAATCATGTAAAATAAGGTTAAAATGATAATTAATAGTATTAGATATTAGATATTATAATGATATCTAAGATAATAACAAATAAAATGCTCCGCAGGGCGCAGCTTGATACGACCGCAGAGGTCGAACCCTGAACAGTTGGGGGAAGTATGGACACAACATTCAAGCTTGATACAGCTTTGGATTTGGATTGTGATTAAATATTTGACACAGCATAGGTTTCTAACACAGATTGAATGTGGTCTAAGAACTTAAAAATTTTAAATTGGACATTCACCTATTATGGTCCAATATCCAAAATCTAAATACATGGTTAGATTCAGCATATCAAAGAACCCCAAGAATTCAATTTTTGATGAAATCAAACAAAGTTTAATTTCGGACCCTTTTGACCTCAATGTGGACAAAGTTGATAACGGGGCCTAAAAATCAAAAATCTAAATACATGGTTAGATTCAGCATATCAAAGAACCCCATATATTCAATTTTTGTTGAAATCAAACAAAGTTTAATTTTGGACCCCGATTTGGACCAACTTGAAAACTGGGCCCATAATCAAAAATCTAAATACATGTTTAGATTCAGCATATCAAAGAACCCTAAGAATTCAATTTTTGTTAAAATCAAACTAAGTTTAATTTTGGACCCTTTGGACCTTAATGTAGACCAATTTGAAAACGGAACCAAAAATTAAGAATCTAAATACACGGTTAGATTCGGCATATCAAAGAACCCCAATAATTCAATTTTTGATGAAATCAAACAAAGTTTAATTTTGGACCCTTTGGACCTCAATGTGGACCAATTTAAAAACGGGGCCCAAAATCCAAAAACTAAATACACGGTTATATTCAGCATATTAAAGAACCCCATGAAATCAAGAATAAAACCCCATTGAAATTGGTCAAGAAATAAGCAATTTATAGGAAGTATCTTCTTTTGCACAATCCTGTGCTATTAAATATTTCTTGCTATTGCGCAATACTGTACAATTGACAATTTCTTGCTATTGCGCAATATTGTGCTATTGGATATTTCTTGCTATTGCGCAATACTGTGCAATTGAAGATTTCTTGCTATTGCGCAATACTGTGCAATTGAAGATTTCTTGCTATTGTGCAATACTGTGCAATTGAAAATTTCTTGCTATTGCACAATACTTATTATATAATAATTTACACATCCTGTTTGGTGTGTATCTCCTACCATATCATTATTATTTGATTTTAAATATAAATCAGAAATAACCAACTTAAAATGGAAAATTTTAAAAGAAACAAAAAAGGAAAAAAAGAAAAAAAAGGAAAAAAAAATAAATCCCCCCCCAAAATTTTTTGAACCCCCATTATGATTCATCACCCTAAACTCAATCCCAGCCTTCCCTTTGTGGTATGGTACCTTGCAGTACAATTTCAGAGAGATCCATACACTTGAACACAAGTTATTGTCTGGAAACTAGAAAAAAATGTGTTTTTTGGCCCCTTTTTGGCCCCAAATTCCTAAACGTTTAGGGCAATTACCCCCAAACTCAAACCCAGCTTTCCCTTTGTGATATGGAACCTTGTAGTACAATTTCAGAAAGATCCATACACTTACACACAAGTTATTGTCATGAAACTAGAAAAATGCTTGTTTTTTGCCCCTTTTTTGGCCCCTAATTCCTAAAATTTGGAGGCAATTACCCCCAAAATCAATCCCAGCATTCCTTTAGTGATATGGAACCTTGTGGTACAATGTCAGAGAGATCCATACACTAACACACAAGTTATGTCTGGAAGTTACAAAAATGCTTATTTTTGGCCCCTTTTTGGCCCCTAATTCCTTTACTGTTATTACCATAACCCCCAAAATCAATCCCAACCTTCCTTTTGTGGTATTGAACCTTGTGGTAAAATTTCATAAAGATCCATTCACTTAAACTAAAGTTAGAGTGCGAAAACCAATGTGTCTTCAGACGACGCCGGACGACGACGACGCCAACGTCATACCAATATACGACCACAAAAATTTTTTTGCGGTCGTATAAAAACTGTAAAATTTCTGTAAAATTACTAACTCAGGGGCAGCAACCCAACAACGAGTTGTCGGATTCGTCTGAAAATTTCAGGGGAGATAAATCTAAATCTGATGAACATTATTGCCACCTGTTAGATTTGCTCTAAATGCTTTAGTTTCAAAGATATAAACCAAAAACTGCATTTTACCCCTATGTCCTTTTTTTATCCAAGTCGGCCATGATGGTTGGAAGGCGGGTCATCGGACAAATTTTTTAAACTAGATACCCTAATAATGATTATGGCCAAGTATGGTTAAATTTGTCTCAGTAATTTCAGAGAAGAAGATTTTTGTAAAAGATTACAAAAATTTACGAAAAAATTGTTAAAAATTGACTATAAAGGGCAATAACTCCTAAAGGGGTCGACTGACAATTTTGGGCATGACAACTTATTTGTAGATCTTACTTTGCTGAACATTATTGCTGTTTACAGTTTATCTGTAACTATAATAACATTCAAGATAATAACCAAAAACTGCAAAATTTCCTTTAAATTACCAATTCAGGGGCAGCAACCCAACAACAAGACGGACGCCAAGTGATGAGAAAAGCTCATTTGACCCTTCGGGGCCAGGTGAGCTAAAAAATATATAGCATTCAGAAAATTAGTTTATACAGAATAACAAACAAACTTGCCACAAAATTCTACAAACAATTTACCAAAGAAAAGAAAAAAAAAATCCAAAATTTTATTTATCATTAATACAATGCCATTTCAAAATCTATAAAACTTATCAGTAACAAGAAATAATTGTAACAGAATGCTGTTACGAAGTCTCCCAAACAAAGCTCCAATAATTCGTCATTCCCATTGTCGCTTGACTTTGGGCAATGTCCAGTACAAATTGGTTTATGATATGAATTAGTGACGCCTATGGATTGACCCTGTATGTCATTCAAATCTTCTTGAAATTACGAACAGGAATTTATATGGTTTAGGGGTGGAGATCTCGACCATTGAAAAGTTCTCAAAAGGGGGGGTGGTCCCCAGGGAACTCTCCCTTTATTTCATATGATTTGTTTTTTTGTCCCGTACAAGAATATATATGGTTTAGGGGTGGGGATCTCGACCGTTTACAAGTTCTTAAACAGGAAGGGGGTGGGGGTGACCCAAGGGAGTCTCCTTATATTTCATTTGATTTGTTTTATGGTCCCATACAAAAATATATATGGTTCGGGTCCCATACAAGAATATATATGGTTTCGGCGTGGGGATCTTGACCGTTTACAAGTTTTCAAATTGAAGGGGGGGTTGGTGTTACCCTAGGGGATTTCCCCTTAATTTCCTTTCGATTTGTTTTATTGTCCCATTCAAGAATATATATGGTTTAGGGGTGGGGATCTAGACCGTTTACAAGTTATCAAAAAGAAGGGGGGTGGGGTGACCCCCAAGGACTTCCCCTATATTTCATTTGATTTGTTTTATTGTCCCATACAAGAATATATATGGTTTAGTTGTGGGAATCTCGACCGCTTACAAGTTCTCAAAAAGGAGGGGGTGGGGGTGACCCCAGGGGACTTGCCTTTTATTTCAAATGATTTGTTTTATTGTCCCATACAAGAATATATATAGTTTCAGGGTGTGGATCTTGACCGTTTACAAGTTTTCAAAAAGAAAGGGGCTGGGGGTGACCCTCATGGACTTCCCCTATATTTCATTTGATTTGTGTTATTGTCCCATACAAGAATATATATGGGTTTAGGGGTGGGGATCTGGACCGTTTACAAGTTCTTAAACAGGAGGGGGTGGGGGTTGACCCCAGGGGACTCGC